TTCCCCCAAAAAGGGCGCCCATTTTATTCCTCGGTTACGCTGGGGTCCAGGAAGCCGGCTTCATCCTTCTCTTGCACGCTTTGGACTTCGGGTCTGGGTGGCGACAAGAGCCTTGGGCACCCAAAAAAGCCTAAACTTGGGGGGGTCATATGTCATATAGCATATAATTGCCACAATCCCTATCAGGGCATGTGGACCCTAAACCCTAAAACCCGAAACCCGAAACCCTAAACCCTAAACCCTATACCCTGAACGGTTTAGGGTATAGGGTTTAGGGTTTCGGGTTCAGGGTTTGGGGTTTAGGGTTTAGGGTTTCGGGTTTAGGGTTTGGGGTTTAGGGTTTAGGGTTTGGGGTTTGGGGTTTAGGGCCTAAACCCCAAACCCCAAACCCTAAACCCTAAACCCCTAAACCCCAAACCCCTAAACCCTGAACCCTAAACCCCCCGTTGAGTCCCCCCAAGGAGCTGCACCGGCACCATGGGAAGGGCGCTTATCTGACCATCAAGCCGGGAGTCGAAGCCCTCTATGCCAAGGCACTGGACGAGGTCGGCGATGTTTTGGGAGGCTTTTGGGGTTTTTTTAAGGCTTTTTAGGGCTTTTTGTGTGTTTGTTTTGGCTGTTTTGGGGATTTTTGAGGGCTTTTTAGGCCTGGGGGGCTGTTTGGGGCTGTTTGGGGCTTTTGGGCTTTTGAGGCTTTTGGGGCTTTTTAGGGCTGTTAGGGTTCTTTAGGGCTTTTGGGGCTTTTGAATTTTAGAAGCTCTCGGTCGAGGCCGGCGGCTTCAGCGCGGAGTGGCTTCGCAGCTGCACCAAGGCCGATGTGGCCAGGACGTTTGCCTTGGAGGACAACGCGGAGGTGGAGGACCTGCTGGACTTGCTCTTGCAAGTCATCCATGAGCTGGGGCGGGGCTGCACCAGAGAAGGCTCCCTGGAAGCCTTTGTGGGCCCTAAACCCTAAACCCTAAACCCTAAACTCTAAACTCTAAACCCTAAACCCTAAACCCTCAACCCTCAACCCTAAACCCTAAACCTAAACCCTAAACCCTAAACCCTAAACCCTAAACCCTAAACCCTAAACCCTAAACCCTAAACCCTAAACCCTAAACCCTAAACCCTAAACCCTAAACCCTAAACCCTAAACCTTAAACCCTAAACCCTAAACCCTAAACCCTAAACCCTAAACCCTAAACCCTAAAACGCAGGCTCCCTGGAAGCCTTTGTGGCGCGGGCCTTGGAGGCCTCGGCTGGCGCGCCTCAGCCTGCGGCCGAGTTGGTGTGGGCGCTGGTGGACTCCTTCCCCGAGACCTTTGACGAGCCTTGGGGGGCTGAATGTCCCTATATTGGGAGGTTTTCCTGTGCGCTGACAGTTCTTAATCGGGAGCAAAGTAGGGGGGACTAGAATCCTTATGAAGGACTGTTGGGATAAAGGGGAACATCCCAATCCCTCTAGAAGAAACCTTAGCAAGCTTACAGTAGTTAAGTATAGCGGTACATGATACACATGATCCTTGAAAACCAACCTCAACATGATTTAGGGTTTAGGGTTTAGGGTTTAGGGACAGTACTGTAGAGTGTACGGTTTTATGATCCCAATCATCGGGCCTCCTCTGGTGCCCAAAAGGGATCGCTACACCCTCCATGCCGTGCAGCCTAAACCCTAAACCCTAAACCCTGAACCCTAAACCCTAAACCCTAAACCCTAAACCCTAAACCCTGAACCCTGAACCCTAAACCTGGTCCCCAAGGATCGCTACACCCTCCGCGCCGTGCAGCCTGTGTGCTTCTTCAAAAAGTCCCAGCTGGTCGTCGGCGAGCTCTATCACCGCTTTCGCGAGGACTTAGAGGGTTCTGAAGGGAGGGGGCGGTTCATGGGGGCTAGGGTTTCGGGTTTAGGGTTTAGGGTTCAGGGTTTAGTTTAGGGTTCAAGGGGGGGTAGGTACCTAGGGAAGCTTAGGGAGCCTTTGGGAGTTAGGGAACCTTGGGTTACATGCCTCCCTTGAACCCCCCCCCCCCCCGGTCCCTTAAGAACCCTATAAGACCCCAACAAGAACTCTATCAGAAACGCTAAGAATCCTGTAAGAACCCTATCAGAACCCTCAAAAGAGGAAGACTCCCGCTTCCGGTTTGCCGATGGCGACGACCTCACGGCCTACGTGGACAACGTGATCTGCGCGACTCTCCGGTACAAGGGCGTCGTGGTACCGAACGCCGAAGCCAGGCTACCTAGAGCATCATTCTTCCCACCCTAAACCCTAAACCCTAAACCCTAAACCCTAAACCCTAAACCCTAAACCCTAAACCCTAAACCCTAAACCCTAAACCCTAAACCCTAAACCCTCACCCCTAAACCCTAAACCCTAAACCCTAAACCCTAAACCCTAAACCCTAAACCCTAAACCCTAAACCCTAAACCCTAAACCCTAAACCCTAAACCCTAAACCTCTCTATTCAGTATATATTTAAATGTTAAACCCCTTCGTGGATTTGCACACAAACCTTCGTGGATTTGCACACAAACCTTCGTGGATTTGCACACAAATCGGCCTGGAGGGGCCAGGGTTCAGGTTTTTCAACGGCGTCGGGGGGCCTCGAAGGGCCAGGGTTCAGGTTTTTCAACGGTTTTGTGTGCAAATCCACGAAGGTTTGTGTGCAAATCCACGAAGGTTTGTGTGCAAATCCACGAAGGCCATTAACCTTTATAATGTTCAAGCCTTCGTGGATTTGCACACAAACCTTCGTGGACTTGCACACAAACCTTCGTGGATTTGCACACAAACCTTCGTGGATTTGCACACAAACCTTCGTGGATTTGCACACAAACCTTCGTGGATTTGCACACAAACCTTCGTGGATTTGCACACAGGCCGGCCTGGAGGGGCCAGGGTTCAGGATTTTCACTGGCGTCTTGAAGGGCCAGGGTTTCAGGTTTTTCACTACTTTTCGAGCCATCAAATATGTACGATTTGTTCCGTGACGTTTTGTCGTCGCTGGGCTTCTTTCAAACTCTCAAAATGGCTCCAGGGTTCAGGTTTTTCACTGTTCTTTTTTTTTCACGGGCTCGAGGGGCCAGGGTTCAGGATTTTCACTGGCGTCTTGAAGGGCTAGGGTTTCAGGTTTTTCACTACTTTTCGAGCCATCAAATATGTACGATTTGTTCCGTGACGTTTTGTCGTCGCTGGGCTTCTTTCAAACTCTCAAAATGGCTCCAGGGTTCAGGTTTTTCACTGTTCTTTTTTTTTCACGGGCTCGAGGGGCCAGTTCAGGATTTTCACTGGCGTCTTGAAGGGCCAGGGTTTCAGGTTTTTCACTACTTTTCGAGCCATCAAATATGTACGATTTGTTCCGTGACGTTTTGTCGTCGCTGGGCTTCTTTCAAACTCTCAAAATGGCTCCAGGGTTCAGGTTTTTCACTGTTTTTTTTTTCACGGGCTCGAGGGGCCAGGGTTCAGGATTTTCACTGGCGTCTTGAAGGGCCAGGGTTCAGGTTTTTCACTACTTTTCGAGCCATCAAATATGTACGATTTGTTCCGTGACGTTTTGTCGTCGCTGGGCTTCTTTCAAACTCTCAAAATGGCTCCAGGGTTCAGGTTTTTCACTGTTTTTTTTTTTTCACGGGCTCGAGGGGCCAGGGTTCAGGATTTTCACTGGCGTCTCGAAGGGCCAGGGTTCAGATTTTTCACTGGTTTTTTCAGGTTTTTCACTGGTTGTTCAGCTTTTCCATAGACGTGGGGGCTCCAGGGTTCAGGCTTTTCACTGTTTTTTTTTTCACGGGCTCGAGGGGCCAGGGTTCAGGTTTTTCACTGGCGTCGGGGGCCCAGGGTTCTTTTTTTCACGGGCTCGAGGGGCCAGGGTTCAGGTTTTTCACTGGCGTCGGGGCCCTAGGGTTTAGGATTTTCACGGGCGGGGGCGTGCCTAAAACCACGAATGTGCTTAACATTTAAATTCTTATAAGTAGGAGAGGGTTTAAGATCTTCAGGGGGTCGGGGCCCCAGGGTTTAGGATTTTCACGGGGTCGGGGCCCCAGGGTTTAGGATTTTCACGGGCGGGGGCGTGCCTAAAACCACGAATGTGCTTAACATGTAAATTCTTATAAGTAGGAGAGGGTTTAGGATCTTCAGGTGGTCGGGGCCCCAGGGTTTAGGATTTTCACGGGGTCGGGGCCCCAGGGTTTAGGATTTTCACGGGCGGGGGCGTGCCTAAAACCACGAATGTGCTTAACATGTAAATTCTTATGAGTAGGAGAGGGTTTAGGATCTTCAGGGGGTCGGGGCCCCAGGGTTTAGGATTTTCACGGGGTCGGGGCCCTAGGGTTTAGGATTAGCTGCCTGGGGATGAAGAGGATTAGATTATCTTCTTAATGGTGTGGGACCCAATGGGCGGGTGGGTATTCCCCTGTGGCCTTGAAAGCTGCTCAACTGGTGAATGCTTGGACCAGAGATGCTGAACCCTAAACCCTAAACCCTAAACCCTAAACCCTAAACCCTAAACCCTAAACCCTAAACCCTAAACCCTAAACCCTACCCCTAAACCCTAAACCCTAAACCCTAAACCCTAAACCCTAAACCCTAAACCCTAAACCCTAAACCCTAAACCCTAAACCCTAAACCCTAAACCCTAAACCCTAAACCCTAAACCCTAAACCCTAAACCCTAAACCCTAAACCCTAAACCCTAAACCCTAAACCCTAAACCCTAAACCCTAAACCCTAAACCCTAAACCCTAAACCCTACACCCTACACGCTACACCCTACACCCTACGCCCTACACCCTAACGAATGCCCTGAAGCGCTCAAGTCCTAAACCTTGGCGGGCGGATTAAATTCTAAAGATTCTGAGCCCTGAATCACCTTTACGTCCGAGGTTTCAGAGAGGAGGCTTACGGTTTTCAGGGTTTTTGTAGGGTTTAGGGCGTTTAGGGGTATTTTGGGGTTTATGTTTAAGTTTAGGGTTCAGGGTCAGGGTTCAGGGTTTAGGGTTCAGGGTTTAGGGTTCAGGGTTTAGGGTTTAGGGTTTAGGGTGTAGGGTTCAGGGGGTTTTGGGGAGCCGCGGGGGGGAACCGAGGACATGACGAAGATGATCGAAGCCGGCGAGGCCCTGCAAAAGGGCTCGGAGCAGGAGGTCTGCTTTCGCGCAGCTGCCCGGATTCTCCGTGGTTGAGAGGTTCGGATGGCCCTAGACCCTAAACCCTAAACCCCAAACCCCAAACCCTAAACCCTAAACCCGAAACCCTAAACCCCCTAAACCCTAAACCCTAAACCCTAAACCCTAAACCCTAAACCCTAAACCCTAAACCCTAAACCCTAAACCCTAAACCCTAAACCTAAACCCTAAACCCTAAACCCTAAACCCTAAACCCTAAACCCTAAACCCTAAACCCTAAACCCTAAACCCTAAACCCTAAACCCTAAACCCTAAAAACCCTAAACCCTAAACCCTAAACCCTAAACCCTAAACCCTAAACCCTAAACCCTAAACCCTAAACCCTAAACCCTAAACCCTAAACACAGATACAGGGGAGGAGGGGGGAGAGGGGAGAAATATCCGAGGCTGCCTTGTGTGGCGTGGAAGCCGTGACGGCCGCGACCGGCCATGCCCTGACATCCTCCGAGCTGGGCAACTACCTTTGGGCAGGTCCATGGGATACTACGGTTTAGGGTTTAGGGTTTAGGGTTTTGGGTTCAGGGTTTAAGTTTTAGGGTTTAAAATTTAAGCTTTAGGGTTTAGGGTTTGGAGTTTAGGGTTTGGAGTTTAGGGTTTTTCACTTTAGGGTTTCGGGTTGGTGGGTTTTGGGGGGGTTTCGGGCTTGGGATGTTTAGGTGGGGTTTAGGGGATTTTTGGGTCTTGAGGAGGTTTAGGGGGTTCAGGAGGTTTAGGGCCTCTGCCCCTCTCTCTCTCTCGCTCCCTCTCGCTCTTTGTCTCTCTCTTTGTCTCTCTCTCGCTCTCTCTCTCTCTCTCTCGCTATCTCTCTCTCTCTCTGTCTCTCTGTCGCTGTTCCTCACTCTCACTCTCACTCTCACTCTCACTCTCACTCTCACTCTCACTCTCACTCTCACTCTCACTCTCACTCTCACTCTCTCTCTCTCTCTCTCTCTCTCTCTCTCTCTCTCTCTCTCTCTGTCTGGGCAGGTCTTGGCAAAGAGCCGGCCATCCGAAAGTATCAGCGCCATGCGACCAAGACAGTGTTTTACTGAGGTTGGCGGAAAACGATTTTGTCATATGGGTCCCCAAACCTCCACCCAAAGGGCACCCCCTTATACTAGCAGTCCTTACGAGGGATTAGAGTACCCTCTATTATACTTCCCATCAAGGACGATTATTATTACTATTATTATGATTGTTATTATTATTATTGTTATTATTATTCTTATTAGTATTGTTATTATTGTTATTATTGTTATTATTGTTATTATTGCTATTGTTATTATTATTGTTATTATTGTTATTATTGTTATTATTGTTATTATTGTTATTATTGTTATTATTGTTATTATTGTTATTATTGTTATTATTGTTATTATTGTTATTATTGTTATTATTGTTATTATTGTTATTATTGTTATTATTGTTATTATTGTTATTATTATTCTTATTAGTATTGTTATTATTGTTATTATTGTTATTATTGTTATTATTGTTATTATTGTTATTATTGTTATTATTGTTATTATTGTTATTATTGTTATTATTGTTATTATTGTTATTATTATTGTGATATAATGTTCTACCAGTAGGTCTTGGCATTTGTTGGGGAGCCCCTTTAGAGGACGGTTGGGGGACCCCTTGCTGTGGTGGCACAGCTGCGTGTGTGATCTTCGCATCTTAGAGGCGCCAGTGTACATACCCCTGGCCGTACAGTGGCCACGTCCTTGTACATTGTTGCGTTTAGGGTTTAGGGTTTAGGGTTTAGGGTTTAGGGTTTAGCGTTCTTTTGTGCTCATGCGCACACCTTCGGGTAGCCAGGAGGCTCCGAGTTCATGCTTGCTGGGTTTAGGTTTTGCGGCCGCCCTCATGAGTAGTGGTAGGCTTGTTTGGCGCCGCCCTCAGAAGTAGCGGAAGGCCGCGACTCGTTCAGATTCACCTCGACGAGATGCAGACATGAACGAAAACAAACGCGTGCGTGCGCGCGTGTGCGGCTAGCGGCTAGTTGCAGCCTCGTGATGTAGCAGCCCTTATGCCTTAAGCCTGACTCATCGCTAGACCAAATTAGTCACCTCCTGGCCCCCCGAAGCCTAAACCCCAAACCCTAAATCCTAGACCCCAAACCTTGCACTCCCCAACCCTCCACCCTCCTGAGCCTCAGGCCAAAAACCCGAAACTGCTACTTACGCCCCTGCACTCCGAATCCCCTAGTCCCCCCATCCCCTAACCCCCTAAACGCCAAAACCCTAAATGCGTGAACCCGACAGCAACCTTGTAAACCCCAAATTGCCCGAAACGCTTAGTCTTAAGAACGGTGCAAGCAACGTTAAAACTCTCAATAGGCCCAAAGCCCTGAGTCTGAAGTGCGGCGACTCTTCGAAACCCTCGACCACAAACCTTAAACCCCAAACCCTAAGCCCCAAACCGCAAACCGCAAACCGCAAACCGCAAACCCCAAACCCCAAACCCTAAACCCTAAACCCTAAACCCTAAACCCTAAACCCCAAAGCGAAGCTTCGGAGTTAGGTGGCTCCGTGGGGGTCACGGTGCGTCAGTTGCTGCGCGGCAACGTCGGGGGCCCTGAGCCGAAACTCGGGTGTCTTTTGGGGGGGTTTTAAGGGATAAAGCACTACACCCTAAACCCTAAACCCTAAACCCTAAACCCTAAACCCTAAACCCTAAACCCTAAACCCTAAACCCTAAACCCTAAGCCCTAAGCCCTAAACCCTAAGCCAGGTGGCTTCAGGTGCTTTAGGAAGGTGGTTTGGGTTTAGGGTTTGGGCTTCAGGTGGGGTTTAGGGTTCAGCGTTTGGGGTTACAAGGCGGGCCCCCCTACTATACTAGCTGTAGTTAAGGGCGTAAGTTAGGAGCCTTAGAACCATTTAGGGTCCTTGTAACTCTACTTATAACTAGGGAGGGGGGGGGGGGTGGAGCGGCTCCTTGTAGGGGTGTTTAGGGGACTTTAGGGGTTTAGGGTTTGGGGTTTGGGGTTTGGGGTTTTGGGGAGTTCAGGGTTGGGGTTTCAGATTTAGGGGTTTAGGGGCTAGGAGCGCCTTTCTTCTGACTTTGGGTTTTAGGGCTTTAGGGCTTAGGGATTAGGGTTGGGGCTGTAGTGTTCGAGACAGAGAGTAACTGGAATTTCGGTTCTTGGTGGCCTACTGAGAGCTTCCGAGGCTTTTGGGGGTTTAGAGGTACTAAGGCTTTTTAATAAAGGGCTTTCGAGCCTTCAGGGGTTAGTCAAGGTTCAGGGGCTTTGAGGCGTTTAGGGGGCTGTAGGTGGTTTAGGGCTCCCAGGTTCAGACCTAAGGGTATTTAGGGTTTAGGGCTTAGGGTTTGTGGGACTTCTTCGGTTTGGGTGTTTGAATTTAGGGTTTGTTGGGCAGGGTTGGGCCTTAGGTTTTAGGGTTGAGGGTTCAGGCTTATGGTCTCCAGTACAAGGCACTTCAGAAGGGCAGGATTGTGAAGAAGAAGCCCTGAACCCTAAAGACCCCCGCCCCCTAAACCCTACCCCCTAACCCCTGAACCCCAAAACCGTAAACCCTGAGCCCTCACACCCTAAGCCGTAGAATGATACAAACCGCTTGGACAGCTGGCTCCATGGCCCCTCGATTCTCGGCTCACAGGGCATCAGAAGCGACCTTCCTTCCTTTAGAGCTCGGGGTTGGGCGTGCATCCGGCACCATGGGAATCGACTCCTGTCCGATTTTTTGTTTTTTTGTGTTTAGGGTTTTGGGGTGTTTGCAGGTGTTCCGCGCAGCATAGATATCTCAAAATGCCGGAGCTCCAAGTGCAGGAGTTTCCTCGGTTTAGAGCTCAGAGAGTAGAGCTAAACCCAAATTAGACCCGAAGCTGCAAAACCCCAGGGCGCCTGGCCCTCACCTTGGGTTGAGGCCCTAAGGTTTTGGGCGCAGCATTCATGGTGACAGTTGCTTTTCGCTGCTATGTTCTGCAACGTGGAGCAAATGTCGTGCGGATGGTTCTCTGCTTATCTCTCAGAACACGTTTGCCAAACACATGCATACACGCATGTAAGCGTATGCATGTAAATATCTAGATCTGTATCTGTATCTATATCTATATATATATATATATATATGTATAGATCCATCTATATATATATATACACATATATATATTATATATATATACATAATTCGGCTTCTACATACATGTATATATATATATATATCCATGTATTTTCTAAAGATGCTTCTGAGCTTTTAACGAGGTCGGAGTATGAACAGGCTAGCCATGCCCTGAACTGTAGACGAGCGGAACCTTGTTGCAGGATCATTTGCAATGTCGGGGGTGTCAGGGCGGAGGGTTTAGGCTTTAGGGTTTGGGGTTTAGGGTTTAGGGTTAAGGGTTAGGGTTTAGGGTTTAGGGTTTAGGGTTTAGGGTTTAGGGTTTAGGGCCTCAAGACCTTCGGAGCCGAGGACATTGAGTCGGGCGGCCGCAAGAAGACCAAGAAGCGAGCCTCGGTCAACTGCGGTTCAGGGTTTAGGGTTTAGGGTTTAGGGTTTAGGGTTTAGGGTTTAGGGTTCAGTGTCAGGTTCCATCCGTACTCCTGGTGAATGCAAAACCTCGGTCAGCTCACTGGTTTTAGTTGAGTTGGGTTGATTTAGGGTTTGGGGTTTAGGGTTCAGGGTGTAGGGTTTAGGGTTTAGGGGTTTAGGGTTTAGGGTTTAGGGTTTAGGGTTTAGGGGTTTTTCTGTTGTCATACGGCGAACTCGCAGCAAGGGACCATCAACATTCGGAATCGCGCGGACTGCCCAATTGGGCCTCAGGGCTTGGTTGAGGGTTTATGATGTAGGGTTTACGGTAAACCCAATAAACCCGAACACCCCCAAATCCTAGCACCCTT